CAAGATAAAGATAAAAGTTTTTAAAAGCTGTTGAATTTGGTTTAGGGACTGACACATTGAAACATCTTCGAAGGGTCAACGCTCGAGATCCTATATTGTGCCGGTCTTCCCCACTTTTATCAAAGAAAGCTTTTAAAACTTTAAAAATATACAAATTTTTAAATGTAAGAATTTGTAAATCTTTAAACAATTGTTCAGAGTGTTCGAATTTTGTTTTGTTTGATATTATGCGGACAAAATACTTCTGTATGGTTATTATTGGTTTAAGGTTTGAGTAATATGCTCCTCCCCACACCTCAATCCCATACTCGATTTTCGAACTTATCAGAGCATAATATATAGATTTCAAAACATTTTTCCTACAGATTGGCCTCAACATATAAAATATCCGGATGTATTTCAATAATTTTTGTCTAACTGCCTCAATATGTATTTTCCAAGATATCTTCGAGTCAACATTTAAGCCTAGATATTTAATTGAATTTACCTGTTCAATGTCCGCACATTGGCACTGTATATCCATTTTACAATTTAACGAATGATATTTTAATGGCTCAGCAAAGCTAAGGTTACGAGACAAATTGAATATTATGTACTTTGTTTTAGGACTCATGACCATAAAGTGTTTTGTGAACCACACTCTTAGCATCTTTATCAGCTTGCATTTCTAGTCTAAGCTGCTCTAGATTTGAACTGCTGTAAAACAGTGCAGTATCGTCAGCAAACGCAACTAGTCTGCCATTGAATACACCTTCACAAAGATTATTTACATAAATAAGAAATAATGGTCCAGATAATACCGAACCCTGTGGAATTCCGTGCTTAATAATACATATTTCACTAACAGATTCACCTACTCTAGTTACATGGCTTCTTTCTGATAAATATGAACTGAACCACTTGAGAGGGATCCCTCTAATACCTGCTTCGTACATTCGAGACAGTAAAATAGAGTGATCTACTGTGTCGAATGCCTTCATTACATCGACGAATATACCTGCAGAGCATTTACCTTGATTTATTCCATTGTAAACCTGAGACATAAAATCTAACAAAGCATTACTTGTGTTAATTTTACTTCTAAACCCGTACTGGTTTTTACTAAAGAAATTAATTTTATTCAGGAAGTTAATCAAACACTCCTTTACAATCTTTTCTATTATTTTTGATAAGATAGAGAGTAAGGCTATAGGACGGTAGTTAGTGGGATTAGTTTTATCGCCTTTTTTGTACAATGGCTTTAAAACAGCTCTTTTTAGAATATTGGGAAATACACCCGTAGACATACTAAGATTTATTAAATGGACCAATACATTATCAATGCTGTCTATGATGTTTTTAATGATAACAGGTGTTAACTCATCAAAACCTGGGGCTTTTCTATCTTCTAATGCACTAACTATACTTTTAATTTCAGCTGTATTTGTAGGAAAGAAAAATATGGATTTGATTGAATAGGTTCGTGTTGGAAACGTGGTGTCGAACGCACTATTTGAAGTTTTAATTCCCTCAATATCTGAGACTATGTCATCTCTAAGCTTATCTGCAATTGTAAGGAAGAAATCATTGAACATATTTGCAACTTCGGTTTGATCTTGAACCAAAACGTCATTTTCATGGGTAAGTATTATTTTCTGATTCGAATTCTTTTCACAACCGATTAACTCGTTTATTGCATTCCACTGTTTTTTCGTATTATTTTTATTTAACTCGAATTTTTGTCTGTAATACACTTCCTTGGTAGTTCTAATTTTATTTATTAACCTGTTTTTGAACTCTTTATAAGATTGTTGAAGTATTTGATTGTTAGGCTGTTTAGCTGATTTTTTTTATATAGATCGTGAGTATGGCATATGGTTCTGTTGTTTGGATTAAAGTCCTTAATTCAGGCCTTATATTTTGAATTATTCTTTCTATGCTAGGAGTAGAAATATTCCTATGTCTTAAAGTTTATTTTTATAAAGCTGTATGAAATGGTCATTTATGTTTTCGGTGGGTTATCATTTTGTTATACAGATGTCTCAAATAAATAGGATGTCTACTTTATTGCACAGAATCAATGTAGGTAGTCATGTTGAAAATAGTATTTTAAATCTTTGAGTAAGCCTTTTTTTCTATATATAGACTGGGAACGTTTGGCTAGTTTTATGCATGATCAATGAATATGAACAAAACATGTAAATATTTGCATTTGAGTGAGAATAAAGCGCATTTCTAATCTTGGAGTTATCACGAAAGCTGTTATAACTACAACAATTTAAACGTATTTAACTCTTCACTCCTCATGTGACCTTTGATAAGACGACGCTTCCGTGTAACATTGTACTACTTCTTATCAAACTGATAAGAAATCCATTCTCATGATAACGACGAGTGCATGTCTGCAAATGAACTGATAAGAGTTGAAATAGTAAACATTTTTGCATTCAAAATATGTTATCACTCGAATTCTTGTCATGTGCGAAGTAGGGTAGGATAGGATTAAAATTGATATATAATAGATATATACAGTACTTATGTTAAGGTCGTTTAAAATAATTCATTAAAATCAAACCCTTTTTTCTGGGTATGCAAATACATTTGGAACTAAGAAAAAATGTAACTTCTTTCCTATTTGTTTTTGGCGGACTACCACCTTATAAAACGGTTCAATTAAAATCATTAGAAAACTTTTCCTTCAAGACCAGACGGATATGTAAATTTTTATTAATTAAGAAATCGTCTACCAGATGTACATTTAATTCATATCTACGGTGCGTAATACAAAATACCACGGTCAATAAATATATCCGTTTATTGAATGATTTTTCTAAGACGGTTTATTGAAGTGCAAATTCATTAAACGTTTCAGTTTACGATTGTAATTTATGAAAAAATATCACTCAGTTTTATATTAAATATATATATATATATATATATATAATTGAACACAATGTCCATCTTATGAGTCCGACCCTCCGTATCCTATTCCATCTCCAGTTTTACTGCCGACTATATTTTTCAATGAGCGTTAGTCAATAAATAATAAAAAAACGTGTCAGCGACTAACAATGCGTCTTGGGGTTTGCTAAATCTGAACTAATCACAGATAAGTACAGACGAATCTGACCTTTGGCTCAAATTTTCCCTAATTTGACAACACATTGACAGCTCAAGTTGCCCGTCTTCTTGCTTCCATTACTACTTGATTATAACAGCCAGTTGATAACAGTGTTGTTTATTAAAGCATAAGTGGGCATTTTTTTGAATAGGTTTTGTTCTTATTTTACCCATGGAAAAATAAGTTTCCAATTATTATAACTTTTATATTAATTATCTTTATATTGTTCTATCCTGATAGGTATGCATAACACTAATTTGAAGGGTTTACATGGTTTACATGTTGTCGTAACTGCCATTAACTACTGTTTGATACTCTTTGCCAAATTATGATATTGAAATTTGACGTCCAAACACTCTGCAACCAGTAAAAACAATTAACTCTACAACTATCCACCTGACATTACACAATTTCAAATAGTTTACTATAACTTTTGTCATAGATAATTTAATAACGACCAGTTGCTAAATAGTAATATTGTTGATTAAATGTTTACATAGCTACATGGCTAAAATGTCTTTACCTATTTTCAATTAATAATCGTCATGATTTTTCATGGTGCTAGAAGACAAACAAAAAAGTACCTTTAATCATCAACTGAATTCCATTTTTTTTATTTTTGGAACATGTCAGACCTAAACATAGGCATCTAACACATTATTTTGATCTAACAGATACATATTGAACAGATTGTTGGATAAAATCTTGTACAAAATTACCAAGAACCTCTAAAATGGAAACTCTCAATTAACATGTCTATTCTGTTCTCACCATCACCTCTGGACATAAACTATAGACTACAGTAGCACATTTCATATCGAGAGGAAGTTTTCACTATTTTCTCAATGGACACCAGCCATAATAGTGGACTTAAAAAGCTTCAATCAGCTGAAAATATGAGCTAAGAAAACTATAATTGGGTTTTGGTGATGCACAATTAGGTAATAAGTCTACAGCAGTAGTGGCATATTTATATCTTGCAGTCTTATTTGACTCTAAGCTTCGAAATTTGCATACTTTATCTTTGAGATGTGGGGAATGAAAACCAGTTCATTTACTGGTGCACTCCTTTCGTAAAGTGATTGTTAATGAAGTTGTTAAAGGAGTAATTAAAACGGTTAAAAAAGATTGATCAATGGGTAATTTGGCCACTACTGTAGGTTTAATTAAAACAATACTGGCAATGTGCCACTAATTATTGTCTCGGACAATTCTGAATGGAAACTGCACACACTTCCAAGAATTGTCATTACTCTATGTGGGATGCCATTGCAGGCTTCGTTATCTTGCAAAAAATCCATTAGCGAAAGGAACTGAATTCACCGTGCAAAGAGTGATAGATTTTTACGCTGAGTGAATCAGTAACACTAGCCTGTATCGAATTTCAGTACTTGCCTTGTAAGGATGTGGCACAAACACCATGGTGGACAGATAAACATGCAGAAAACTTAGAGCAATTACATTTACACTAGAGTTTATATCTACGGTAGAGGGTCTTGGCAACTGAGTGATTATAGTGCTCGCCTTCAAATGTTAGGTAGCCGGTTCAATTCCAAGCGAGATTGATTCTGAAATGGTCATAATTTACCATATGGCTACGATTCTATCTACGAGAATGTTGACGTTGGATGGAAACAAAATCAGGGTTTAGATCGTGCCTAGCAAAAAAAAATTATATATAATAATTTCGTGGATAAGCACTAAGTCTGTATGATGAAATCCGTCTTCTGACCTTCGTCTACTTGGGACAAGCCTATACTATTGGCCAGTACCCATGTAGCCCTCGGCCCGGAGACTGGTTCCATCATACTGACTATAATAATCAATGTGTGAGGAGTCCAATATGTGTTAATCACGAGTAAATATGTTACCTGTGTGTAAAGCTATGTTTTATTTGCAGGTGGACGTAATGATGTAACCAATGACTCCGACCCATCATGTGCGTATGGTGGCTACTGACTGTAGTTACTGCTGTTACTTGTGCACAAGAAGGATATGTTCTAGCGTGGATATCCGCAATAAGGTAAGCTAATAGCCTATAAGGTAAAAAAATAGAATGCGTTAAAAGAGTTTAATGCTATTTGGATGTTTGCATCCTTGTGACTGAAGTAATACAAGGTATCATTAATCTGACGAGTACTTTCTTCCATTGGCTTGTCAACCCCTAATGTGTAAGCGGTGGGAGTAACTGTGATATTTTATGAGTAAAATAACTAACGATAACTTTTGAACATTAACTATTAAAGCAGTATGTGAGTTGCACCATTTTGTTTGGGGTTAACATGACCATAACATGCTAAACTGTAATTAAAACATTTTGAGCAGTTTTTATAAACATTTATTTTCTGCTTTTCGTAAAAAATCACCATCAACATCATATTTGACATCCCATGGATAATGAATGTAATCAAAATATACTATTATGTTCTTTACAATGTTTTCAAAGCAACCTTTTTGTGGATAAACCGTTTATTTATTTCAAGATAATTTTTTGAATTACACTCATGTCATCATGTGCTCACTTTTTTTAAAACGCGTAGATGAATTATAGGAAAAGTTTAAATTCTCAGAACAAGTCTAATGATTTCGAGTTGTTCAAATCCCAATGCTTCCAATTAATGTACATTCGTTTTCTCGTGGACACATCTTTTTTATCGTAGACCTTTCTCATTTGTCTCTTTTCTATTCTGTCTCATAATAAAACATTTAATATAATTAGGTATTTTATCCCTTTTTAAGATCCACTATCTAGATGAATAGTATATTTTTTAATCAACAGAACAAATTGACGTTCCACGTATACTTTTCACAATCATTCTCATTGGTGTGGTAACAGCTCTAACTTCTGCTCCTTTAATCTTTATTAGGTTTACTCTTTTAACATACTTCAAACAATGACAACATCCTTCATTTGGATAGTTACATTACTTAGTTGGAAGTTTACATTAAACTTCTTACTAAGTACTTCTTCAAATACGAAATTACGATCAATTTCACACATACCTAAAGTAAAAACCACAAAAACAAATAATTTACCAGACACGAGGCTCTATATTATTTGAAATGCTAAAACCCACGCCGTTATTAGAAACTTTAGTGTTGTTTTTGACCAACTAACTAAGCTTCTAAAGTTTAAGCTTGTTAAAGCTTAACCTTCTTGCTTATGTTTGGTAGGCTACAGTTTGTTTTTGTAAACAGATAACAACTTGATATAATATTTTCAAAATATGTATACAATGTTTTAAAGAAACCCAGATAACTTTCAACTGTGATCCTATTGTTCCATTTTCGTACAGTGACACACACACTCAAAGAGAAACAAGAAATGTACCGCTTATCTCCAACAAACACATGCAGCAAATTCTGATGCTAACACAAACCAGAGTAAACTTATTGCCATTCACGACACGAATTCACATACGCCATTCGAATCGGCAAACGTTATTTACAAGTAAACATTTCTAAGTGTAAATGTTTACATTTGATTCATCAACCTATAGTTTGGATATAAAAAAAACATGCTTAAGGACTAAAACAGCAATATAATTTCAATGATGTCTCCCATTGCAACGCCTGCTCCATCTTCTTTTGACAATTACATTTAAATGATAGAATTGTTTATGTCAGTTCTAATGTGGTTGATTCAATGAGACATCTCAATTATCACAACTATCTTGGGAAGTTGAGTGGTTATTTGTTTCGTAACCATCACTCCTTTAATTGATGCGGGTAATTGTTCGAGAAAAGCGTGCAAAATAGAGGTAATTAAGAGTAATTAACTTGCAGTTCCGCATATAATTTTTGATAATAGCAATAATTGTATTTACGTATCCATAGCCAGAATCGCAGGTATATTTCCATCCGAAGTACAATTTATTGCTCATAATTAATTTGCTTCATTGCTTTGTCGTTATTAGACTCTCGACAGTAATACATGTACATACGGGGTGGCTGAAAAGTAACTTGCACCCCCCCCTTAACTTTTCAACAATTTGAGATATTTGAAATCTGTTTGCGGCAACCTTCTTAGATAATTATGATCAATTTTGAAAATTTTGCCCTTAGGGGTAGTGGGGGTAGGGGGTAGCTCAAAATTTTCAAATGACAAGTATAGTCGAGTTTGGTATCATTTTACAGGTCTTGACGAAACATAAACATTGACATAAAGAAAACCAAAATCGGCTCACTAATAACAAAATGGCGCCCAAAAAACGTTTCAAATCCAAATAACCATGAGGGACCCTCATTGAGGGTGGCAAAAATTAACTTGCACCCTCTTTAACTTTTTAACTATTTGATAGATTTGAAATCGGTTTGCAGCAACTTGTTTGGATATGAAGGGTTACAATAATTATGTTAAATTTTGAAAATTTTGCCCTTAGGGGTAGCGGTGGTAGGGGGTAGCTCACAGTTTTCAAATAGCAAGTATAGTCGAGTTTGGTATCATTTTGTAGGTCTTGACGAAACATAACAATTAACATAAAGAAAATAGAAATCTGACCATTAATAACAAAATGGCAGTTCAAAATTACTTTAAATAACCATTGTCTCAATCATTTTTAGTTTCCATTTTGTTATTAATGCTCCGATTTCTATTTTATTTATGTTAATTGTTATGTTTCGTCAAGACCTACAAAATAATACCAAACTCGACTATACTTGCTAATTGAAAATTTTGAGCTACCCCCTACCCCCGTTACCCCTTAGGGCAAAATTTTCAAAACTGACCATAATTATTGTAACCCTTTATATCCAAACAATTTGCCGCAAACCGATTTCAAATATCTCAAATAGTCAAAAGGTTAAAGAGGGTGCAAGTTGCCACCCTCATCGTTATTTGGATTTGAAACGTTTTTGGGCGCCATTTTGTTATTAGTGGACCGATTTTGGTTTTCTTTATGTCAATGTTTATGTTTCGTCAAGACCTGTAACATGATACCAAACTCGACTATACTTGTCATTTGAAGATTTTGAGCTACGACCTACCCCCGCTACCCCTAAGGGCAAAATTTTCAAAATTGACCATAATTATTGTAGCCCCTCATATCTAAGAGGGTTGCCGCAAACAGATTTCAAATATCTCAAATGGTTGAAAAGCTAAGGGGGGGGGGGTGCAAGTTACTTTTCAGCCACCCTGTATAAACGTGTTTGTATGATGTTTATGTCAACCGTCTATAAGAGTGCTGCAAAGCTTCATGGAAGTGTTCTATTTATTTAAGTGTGTGAAGGTTTCTCTTCAACACCGTATCTTAAAATTCCTAGCCAACTACACACATCCGATTCGGCTTTCAGTTCCAATTAGAATTGTCACATAGGCACGTTGAATTCAGTTTGTCAGATGGCTGGTCCACATCGTGTATAGTGGGTACTGTACACCCATATTACCCCTTATATTTCAAAGCTATACTGCCACGAATAAGAACAGTTTTTATTCATGCGTTTCCGCGAAACGCATAAGAGAGTAGAATATTTATATCCGCGTTCAGTATGTAATACAAGCTGTCTTCTTTATCTTTAATAACCCATTTGTACTTATACATGTATATTCACTAGAGGTCTTCCAGAGGTCGAGAACTAGAAAAAAAAAACATGTAATGTACAGACTTTGCTATTTTAACACCACGCTGTAAATAAAACATGTGATTGGAATTTCTTCCATTTGTTTTGATTTTCTGTTTATATTTTGTAATTTTGTCACCAGCTTGGCAACCCATAAGGCTCATGATAGTTAAAAAAAATATTTGCATTTTTTTATTTTCTTATTTTTGAGCCTATTTTAATTTATAAAGGGATTCTGCTCATCTACAGGAAAATCGCTATCTACAGTATGCGCAGATTTCCCCTGAGATGCACACGAGCTGGGAAAATAGGTTTTCAAGAAACATGCTTAATATATAGGATTAATACCTTTTAATACGTGCTGCTAATCTCTGGTAGAGCTACTAATTGATACTAGTGTATAAGCTACAGTATAAAATGAATCGAACCTAATTATAGAATAATATGCATACCAAGTTTTATGTAACCAATTGACTTTTGTCCATTAGAGTGTTTGAGTTGTTAGTAGCAACCCATTCAAACTGAAATGTTTAGTTGCAATTTGTTAGTGGTCAAATGGTCACACTAAACCACCGAACTAACCACCGAGCTGACTGTTTGTGGTCACACAACGAGTTGAGCAAGCTGTAGAAAGTTTTATGTTCCAAATCCTTACCTTTAGCCAGCCGACCCACCTTTATTTATACTGTGGACGAATATAGCACCAATAGTGAATCAGTGAAATTTAATTGTAAATTCAATCAAAGGCCAAAGCTATATTTTGAGGTACAATATTAGTCGTGGAATCAGAGTTAAGCCTAAGGTTGTAAATGGTTGGTAAAGGTTGGATGTAAATGTGTAATTTAGGCCTGGGCAACTTTGTCTTATTGCCTTCCGAAATTAAACGTTCCTGTCAATACTAAAAAGTGACTTTTAACATTTGTTTCTATAATAACATTTTTTAACAAAATTTATATTTTAGATTTAGAATATTAATGTTTAGGCTCTCTTATACTACGCTGTGCTTTTATGAGGAACAACAATGTGTTTCTCGAAAATTCCAAAACTGCATTTTGACTCTTTCAAACAAAATTAACAAACTTTAAATTAATTCAACCAAATAATTGTTTTATATCTAGCCACCTTGGAACTAGGTATTGGACGGATACATTTTATCCGGCCGGTACCTGGTTCCAAGGTGGCTAGGATATAAGAGGTGCTGTGTCACTTTATGAACACATCAAAAGGTGTGACCAAACTGTACACTCAGAATAGTCTCATATTTACAAGAAACTTACCTTAACGACATCATAGTTACTGAAAACCCAATCATACTGATGACGGTTTCAGGTAGCTAATTTGTTCCATGAATAAACAATCAAATTACCATAACCGGCTGGAGAAATTTTTGTGCGAAAGTTTTGTTTAATGAATGCGTCGAGAGAGTATATCTTAGATGATTTATCTACTATTATAGTGTGAAAT